TTACACCAATAAATCTCTTGTATGTAAAAATCCACATTGGATATTTGTATCTTCTTTCAATATTTGAAATACTTTTAGGTGAAAAAGTTAAATTGAGATAATTCAGATAGGTGCAGGTGGAATACTAGGGAAAGGAAAAGTCAGTAATTGGAAGCATTTGATAGAAAGTTACACACACACACACACACACACACACACACACACATATATACATGTGTATATTTTATACATATACACATACATTTTATGCATATATATGTATAAAACTAATCTAAAATTTCAGTGTAAGGAATTAACCCCAAGGTAACATGTCCAAAAGCTGACCTTTTGGATGGCCATTGCAGCACTTGTAATGATACAGGAAAGCTTAAAGAGCCTTAATACCTGACTAAAAGAACAGGTAAGAAACATGGTCATTTAGTAATCCTATACCAGGGATCCATTGCATTCTAGAGACACAGCCATATGCAAGTCAAGTACTGCCATTGTGGTGGGAGGATGGATACAGAATACAAAGAGAAAGAATTTCAGGATATTCTTGAAGGCAGTAAACAGGGTGACAGGTAACAAAATCATTTGTGGTTAATTTTTTTTGTCAACCTGACATGCAGTAGAGTCATCTGGGAAGAGAAAACCTCAGTTGAGGAATTTCCTCCATCAGATTGGCCCATGGCTGTGTCTGTGGTACATTATAGTGAATACTAATTGATGTAGGTGGGTCCAGCTTACTGTGGTGATGCCATACTTGGGCAGGTGGGTCTGGGTTGTATAAGAAAAGTAGCTGAGCACGCCGTGGAAAACAAGCCAGTAAAAAGCATTTTCCCATGGACTTTGTTTCAGTTCCTGCGTCGTGTTTCTGCCTTGGCTTCCTTTGATGATGGACTGTAACCTGTAAGATGAAATAAACCTTTTCCTCCCAGGTTAGTTTGGGCAGTGTTTTGTCACAGCAGCAGAAACACTTAGGACAAGTGATAATACAGGTAGTAGAGTGGTTAACAGAAATTTCTTTGAGGAAATAAAATTATATCTGGGATCTAAAATGTAAAACAGAGTCACCCACTAAAAAACACAAAGACAAACTAGCAAGATGGCTCAGGTAAAGGCACTTGCCACCCAACTGATGATCTGAGGTTGATCCCTGATACCCTTATGGAAGGAGAGAGCTGACTCCCACAGGTTGTCCTTCAACCTCTACATGCATGCCACAGCACGTGAGTTCCCTCCTAATGCCAAATAAATAAATGTAATTTTTTAAAAGTATGAAGAACATCCTGTTTTCCAGGATGAATGAGGCAGAAATATGCTTGGTAAATTCCAGGAACACATTTAAATGATGAGACCAGAGAATGTGGACAACAGTTAGCTACAGTGCACTCTTCCCATATTACTCCAAGGGAAACAGAAGATCATAGGAAAAGCCAAGTACACGAAACGAGCACAGGATGAATCTGTACACTGACCTTTGTAAAAGACCATCCTACCCTCTTTGTGGGGAATGGATAGATGTTACAGTAACAGAAGTAGAAAGATGCTCACTGAGCCATTGAGAAGGATGAGGGCTTGGATGAGGGTGGCGGCACCTACTGTGCAAAGAAGTGGATAGATGGGCCACTGGGATGGCTCAGTGGTTAAAGATACTGACTACTTGGGTTTGATCCCTTGAGTCCATGTGATGGAAGGAGAGAACTGACTCCTACAAGTTGTCCTCTGACCTACACATGAACACAGTGGCATATGTGGAAGAAAAACATATACTGGAAGAAAAACAAAACAACCCCTTGTTATCTCCCTGCCTTCTATTCAGTTCCATGTACTTTGAGAAATCTGTCATGCCTATAGAGGCAGGCCTGCACACATGCCTCAGAGTGCAGGGATCTTATGGATCCCTGACAGGACGGGGAAACTTGAAAAGCCCTTCCAGGTAGGCCCCTCGCACCTATAGTGATGACTTTTTCCACTATGGGGGTCTAATCTGTTAGCATCTCCTTGAAGCAGTCTGGCCTTGAATATCCACCCCTTTACTATGTCACAGATATTTCCATTTCTGAATGCTTTGCAGTTTGTGTTTATAACAATAAAGTGACTTAGTTAATGTACTCTTCCAAAAGAAGTTGCCAAGAACCAGGATGCAAGTCATGAAGGAAGGGGAAAGGGGGTAACTTCCTGGTTTTGGAGGTCAGTGCTACTTCCAAACATGGAGGGGTGAAGTCGCAGATTTGCAGACCTTATCAAGAGTACTGGTTTGAACACACTGATTGTGTGCTGTCTGTGTAACCTCGAAGTGGAGATTAAGAAGGTGAAAATGGGAGTCTGAGGGCTGAAGGACTAGAGAAGACCCTGGGCTGGAGAGGTAACTTCAAAAGCAGTAGCTTACAGACTAATTAAAGCAAAAAGCTGAGTGATATCACTCAGGGAGGAAGATAAAATTCACCTCAAGAAAAGAGGGGCAGGGGAACCTCAGGGATTCTGTAAACAGGTGAATTTGGCACAGGAGAAAGAGCCTGCAAAGAAATCAAGGTGGTAGGAAACCGAGAGAGTGAGTACTTGGTGAGACATGAGAAGAAAATAAGACCGGTGCTCACTGTTTGAGGATTTCATTTACAGATTTGTCTAATACTAAAATTCATTTTTGCTTCAGGACTTGGTGTGTAGCTTTACACAAACCCTAAACTCCAAACTACAAGTAGATACTCAGCCCCAGAATCCCATCCCAAGCCCAGTCCGTGACCCTTCCAGTATACTACTGCCAGGACCAAACCGATACTCAGCCCCAGAATCCCATCCCAAGCCCAGTCCGTGACCCTTCCAGTACACTACTGCCAGGACCATGTGAATGGTTCCTCCTGAAACTCAAACCCTGAACTCCAGCCCCAGAGCTCCCAGCCTAGACAGTGACCCCTCCCTCCATGCCATTGCCAGAAGCACACGTGTGGCTCTAGCAAACTCTCACCCATAGGAAGATAGGCACCTGCAGAGCTAGGTCCTGAAGCCAGATACGAATCTGTCCCTCCTCATTGCCACAGAAGCCACATGTGTGTCTAGCAAACTCTCACCCATAGGAAGATAGGCACCTGCAGAGCTAGGTCCTGAGGCCAGATACGAATCTGTCCCTCCTCATTGCCACAGAAGCCACATGTGTGCAGCACCCAGTGATCCTCAACCTCAGATAGGC